AACCTGCCGAAAGTAGAGAGAAAAGGATAATATCCTGCCAAATGCTCAGGTTAAGAGTGTGCCCGCCTTCGTAATGCGGCTGTGTTTTCCATTAGGCATGAGAGAGTGAGGGAGGAGAGGAGAGTATGAGCACAGAAAGCGCTACAGATGAGAGGGCGTCCTACAACAGCTTGCTTGAACGGAGAACATTGCAGCTGCTGCAGCAACTTTGCAGACCGTGTGGTCAGCGCCCTTGTCGAGCGCTCTCCATGCATGTGAGTGCCATATCTGAATTGTCCTGTAGGGGTCTATTCTAGAGGCCGAAGCGGGTCGTTCACACGGCTTCTACCGATATTACTCTCCACGGTTTTTCATCATTCATTTTCAATTGGATTTTTTTTTGGTTTGGCAGTGGTTTATTTTCTCTGAAAGCTCACACAAGACTATGGTCAATTTGCAGTGCATGTTCGGTGATATAGTCGAGGCGAAACTATATATTGTGGTAGTGTATGCTGGTCGAGTTTGTGAGAAGGACGCTACGATGTTGACATTCATTCAGCAGATGACCACCTCACTAAGGGGATCTCGTTTATTCCTATCATTAAAAAATGCAGCCAAGTAAGGAGATTGCATCGGTTTTGATGAAGATGTTCCATGTGATTTTGTTTTTCATCCATCTGTTCTTTTCAAATTCTGAACCTTTCATTTTGTCTTCAGATGACTTCATCTGATTTTGAATTGGGGTGAATGGGGCGTCAAATTTGTATATAGGAAATACATTTAATAATACCACCATTCTTATTCTTATTTGCTGCTTTCGCTTTTGTCCAATCAAGTAGCTTTCAAGCATGCTAACTTGGTTGTAATCCATATAAGCCTTGATGGTGTGTTTTCAAATTATCACTATGTTCTCATTTCTGACTCTGGCTGATGGACATCACGTGACTTGTAAATTATTGAGCAGGATGCAGGAAGTGGCAAAGAGAGAGCGTATCGATGAAATAGTGATTAGTCAAGAGGATACTGTCCGGGTTGAGAGGCGAATTTTTATGCAGAGGCTTTATGTGTAAGATTTTTTCGCCCCATTACTGTGTGTATAGTGATTACTTTCTATGCGGGGATTAACATGGGTGATGATTAATAAACGTAACTGCTACAGTAGAAGGGGGTAATAAAAATAAGAGTTACTGACTTCCGACATGCTTCATTGAAAGACAGAGGTGTATACAATGAATAAAGGTGACATCAGAGTCGTACACTTAATTACAAAACTACGCTCAGACTTTGAGTATATGCTCCAATTTTTCGCTAAGTTCGCCATCCAACTTAAGGGATTCCTTGATTGATAACATTCTTGAGTCAATTCGTTTGATTTCACATTGTAATGTGGCAAGCTCACAAACAATCTAAAAAATTATGTTTTCAGAAAAAAAAACTTTGGTTTGCAGAGAAAACACTATGGATTCATTCGTGCTGTTCGTTGATACGCATGGAACTTTCTGGTCCAGAGGGTAGAAAATTAAAAAAAAAGAAATATGCAACTGCCCGCTTCCACTTTTTACCAAAACATCACCAATATTCATGCACGTTTCGGGTGTGGTTCACTAGTACAGAAAGCGACTTTTTCGCGTTTCGCAGCGCGGAACATGTTTCGCTGCGGGAAACCTCGGTTCCACTTTTAGCCGACCTGAGGTTCCTGCAGCGAAAAATCAGTGGAACCAAGGTTCCCGCAGCGAAAAATGTTTCGCGCTGCGGAACGCGTAGAAGTCTCCTTCTGTCCTAGTGAACACCACCTCACGTTTCCACCACTCCTTGTTGAAATCTAACAGGAGGATCCTTTCATAGGATACTTCAAGAACGTAATTATTTAATTACGGTTTTGACGCTCGAAGGACAACTCAGCTTCACTAGCAATCCCCCCCCCCCCCCCCCCCCCCCCCCCCCCCCCCCCCCCCCCCCCGCCCCTTTGCTACCGGCACCCACAAGCGTTGAAATGTGAATTAGCTAGCAAGAAGCGGCTTGCGTTAAGGAGGCAAAAACGCTTGTCAAAGGCAGATATTCCGCTGTAATCTCAGCCTCGAGAGCGCGAGTGCGATTCGTCTTTCGACGGTTCTTGCGCACAGACGGCTCGGAAACACGAACGCGTCGAAAGTTAGGAATATGCTTCACTTTTGGCTTATCATCCTTTTGTTCCTTTTTCGGAGCCTCACCTTCTTTACGTTTGCGGACCTAAACCTGATCATTACGCGACACGAATAGAGGGAAGTTTTTCAACACCACACCTTAGATTCACTTTCGTCTCCACTACTCGCCTCCACACCGTCTACGAGCGTGAATTTCCCATCATTGAACGGCGGCTCTGCAACTAGAAGGCTTGGGACCTTCGGCAATAGAGCCAACCACGATGTTTGAAGGGGGGGGGGGGGGGGAACTTTTGTTTTTTTATGACCACGGTCTACCAGTAATTACTATCTGATAGAACAGGAGAGACTCGCAGCCTGTTAATTGCTTCTGGAGATTGAACGTCAATACTGAAGATAGACGATAGAGCAACTCCTTGAAGGGTTCTGAACAGCTCTTACAGATACAATAATTCAATTTTCTAATGCTCTCCTTTTGCTACGCGACATGGACTACGCAAACGGAAAATTACCTTGCTTTCGAAATATCACTTCTCGCCGAACTCAGATAGTTTTCCAGTTGAATAACAAGCTTATAGTAGTCTGATACAAACTGCAACCTTTCAAATGAAAGGGAATTCAATTCCTCCATTGGTTCACTTCTGCTAAATGTGATAATTAAGGAGGAGACTATTGAAGTTCCAATTAGGTAAGTTTAGAACTAATACAGAACTTTACTTTGGAATGTCCGAGTCCTCTACAATTATGAGTAGAGATAGATTTCTTTGACAGCCTCCATCCCTATCTCTATTTTGTGAAAATGATGAACTCAGCAAAATCAATTTCTGTTCGTGGACAAAACGGAACGCCACACATTGGTTACCAATCAATTGATAAGCGAAATCAAACAGTAAGGCTGAATACAAAAAATCTACGCTTTCCATGATTTGACCATATTGCCTCTGCTTCATGATTTTTTCTCGAGACCCTCCATAATGACTCCTACCCTTTACGTATTGGCACGGGCGCAATGTGGCTCCGGAGGGGGACAGCTCGTAACATTGCTCAGATTCATGGAAACATCAGTTTTAGGACTAAGCCTATAGAGGAGAAGAGGGAATCCGAGGTGCGTAAGCAATTCTCATTCTCTCCGGAATTCGTTTTCTCCGTTAGGCTTAGTCCTAGTGGCCTTCTTACAGACTGCCCCCCCCCCCCCCCCAGGCACATTGCGCCTTGGCAACTTAACCTCGTCGACAAGAGAAATTTCACTTCATACAACTACAGCACAATCGCACGATTTGCCCACGAAGAGGTACCACTCCTATATTTCATGGACCAACCACAAATTTCCAAAGCAAAACTTCAGGTTAACAAAAATATAACTAAACAACACCGTTCTCTGTTGACAAACACAAGAATTAGAAAGGTAACAGAGCCACATAACAAATGGCACGATGATCTTCGATTTCCATGTTTCGGTGGGGTACGGTAGCAGCAAAATGACGACGTTATCTGCATGCGCGGTCAACACACTTCTGAACGTCTCAGCTGACCGAGCTTCTTGAATGGCTAGTTCCATTCATGTATTGCTTTTCTGCATTTCTCCTGCAAATAAGCTGATTAGATAAGCACCTTTGGGGAAGCATTTCGTCTACGGTAGCTGTTGCTCGGAGATGTGGGACATTCTTTTGTTAGCGAACAGCATAGTCGTACATTCATTTTCTCTCATGATAGAACAGTGGTGCTGAACTCGTTTGTTGGATTGGCGCTCATGTCGTTGGAGTGGGGGAGGGAGATTCAAGTGACTGAGCCAGTTATTGTATTTGGGACCTAGCCTCAATTGAAGAGGAATTGTAGGAGGATGTGAGCAAATTTTGTTCTCCCTGGCGTTTCTTGCCTTCCCTGGGCCTAGCCGTAATGCCATCCACCATCGGCCCTTTTCTGAGGGTCCTCCCTGTCGCTATGAGCGCCGTTGGATTCTCCAGTGTGTTTAGCGGCAAGTAAAGCGCTGATTTCGCAACTGTTTAAGCGGAAAATGGTCTCATTGTCGTAAAATGAAAAAGAGGGCTGAAAGATGGGAGAAGATAAGGTGCAGGCTGTTAAATTCTGTTCAGCACTTTTTCACCATTCACTTACACTTACTTTTATCAGTGCAGTGTGCAGGCAAGCATTATCAGTTCCTCGTAAGCTAGAACGCTTACCTTATGGTGCTCCTTTCTATCTT